CAGCAGCTCCCCCGAGAGAAGCTCACGTCGCTGGGGGAACCAGGAAGACAGCACAGCAGCCCTAGACCCGAGAAGGGGCCACACGTGTGCGACCCGACGGGCGCTCATGGGCCAGCCCTCTCTCCAGCATCTGCGCTGGGCTGTGCAAGCTGGACTGTCCCTCGCCTGCCTCGGTCCTGGGGTTCCCATGTTTCCATGGACACGCTTCCTAAATTCAAGTCACACACACGCCCGTGTGAAACAACCTCAGTCACGGCCAGAGCCAAGTGCGCGAGGCGGCGGCGGGAACGCGCGGTTCCAGAAGGCGCTTCCCCGGACGCCCATCCCCGCTCGTCTCGCTCCGGCCCCGTGGAGCAGAGCCGGCCAGCCCGCGGCAAGCGTCCTGGCGCTCAGGCACGGCGCCTGGCTCAGGCGTATTCTCCCACTTTCGGTTCTATTCACCGAGAGAGGAGGAACAGCCAGGCAGACGGCGTCTGTGGGACACGGTGGCCTCGTGGCCAAGCAGAGCCAGACGGAGGCCCCGGCCCGTTTCTGCTTCTGCTGTGCTTGCACTTTAGATACTCGAAGGACCCGGCTTTGCTACCGAACACTGGTGACCAGGCGATAAAGCGCATGTAACCACGTGTGCACACAACTCTTTACATGTCTACCAACGACAGGAATGCGGCCTGGAATGTTCCAGAAAACAGACACTCCTCGGTGGAAACGGAATCCGGCCCAGGCCACTGTCCCTGCAGAGCCTACCCACGCCCACCCCTCCAACTTACAAACAGCACCAGCCAGAGACTCCACACGGGCAGGGGGCAAAGTCCACCTTCCAGCAGGTCAGGCAGCTGGGCTGGGCAGGGCCGCTCAGATACTGCAGAGCCTGGAGGCCCATTGTCACCCTCCCAGAGGACTGTCCCCACTGCACTCACCCAACCCCTCCCCCCAGCCCCTCAATACAAGAATGAGTGTGCTACTTATGACACTTTCTGAGACACACAAACACATCTCAAGTCTTAAAAGCACACTCTGGCTCTAAGAAACTGATAACCAGGTAAATGTGCTCTGACACTATCACCCAGACTTCTTGTAAAGCGTGTGCGTGTGTGTGTACGTATACGTATATACAGCCATGCTCCTTAGAACATGCATCAAAGAGGAAGCTGAGTCTTTTTAAATGAGGTAGATCTATGTGTAGTAAAAGACCCTCAAGCAAGTTAAAACTAAGTCGCACAGATGGATATCACGACACATAGACACATGTTTAGAAACTCTGTGCCCGTGTGTTCTTAAGTGTGTTTTGACAAGCTCTGAAAGGATAAACCACAAGCCATTTTTCGTGCTTCCCTCCAGGAAAAAGGGTGGGATTTGGGATGGAGTGAAGAATGGAATTTTGATTACTTATTAGATTTGGTTCTGTGTTTAATTTTTATAAGCACGTATCACTTCTTAAATTAAAATTTAAATATTAACAAAAAATTACCTGCTTGCTTGTAAATCTCCAACCTTCTGTCTCTCCAGTGGTTACGAAGTCTAAACAATTATGCTGAACACTGTTAAGACTGTTTCTTAAGGGAAAAAGCTTACCCTGCAGGATACCAGGCTCCTCCAGACACAACTTGGCCCGTCAGAGTCTGAGCCCTTTGCTCAGCCCCTCGTGTCACCTTTAGAGCAAAGAGAACCCGTCCTCAAACGCGGCCATGCAGGGGGCTGCACACGGGGGCCTCCCACCTCGACCGCCCTCGCAGCCCCTCCCCCTGCCCCCCTTCCCCCACCCCCTGGACTGAGTTCTGAGTCTGCAGTCCACGTGGGCCACAGCGGGGGAGGGAAAGGCACTGTTTCAGCATCAGTACCTAAGAAAGACTAAGGAAAACCTCCAGTCATCTTAAACTTGTAAGAAAAGTTAATGGAAAACTCGTGGGAGCTAAAATTGCAATAAGCTGTAGGAGAGATGTTTTGCTTGTTCTACCACTCATCAGTGAGGGGGCCACAGAGCCAGCCACTAAGCATGCTGCCTTGAGGCCACGTTGGAGGCGGGCGTTCTCAGGTCCCAGAGCCCAAGGGTCCGCGCAGCCGAAGTCCTAGCACTCTCCCAGCTTCTCCCCTAGCCTCTCCCTCCCGGGCAGCAACCGCACATCCTGCAGGGCTGGCACAGGACCTGACGACCAGCACAAGTGTCCACCAGGGTGTCAGGCGCCGGCAGGGACAGGACCACATACACCTGCCCTCAGGGCACAGCAGAGCGCTGAACCCCAGGGGACCACTCGTGAGCACAGGCAAAGGACTCATCCTGAGCCTGCGTCCTCATCAGAAAAACACAAGTAACATTTGTTCCGCACTATAGGAAGAGAACTGAACAGGGAGGGATTTTTAAGTGCTCAGCTCAGAGCCGACGTGCATAATAGCAATGACAAGAGTGATGGATGAGGGGCTTCCCTGGTGGCGCAGTGGTTAAGAATCCACCTGCCAGTGCAGGAGACACGGGTTAGAGCCCTGGTCCAGGAAGATCCCACATGCTGCGGAACAACTAAGCCCGCAAGCCATAACTACTGAGCCTGCACTCTAGAGCCCATGAGCCACAACTACGGAGCCCGTGCGCCACAACTACTGAAGCCCATGCGCCTAGAGCCTGCGCTCCCAACAAGAGAAGCCACCACAATGAGAAGCCTGCGCACTGCAAGGAAGAGTAGCCCCCGCTCGCCGCAACCAGAGAAAGCCCGCGCGCAGCAATGAAGACCCAAAGCAGCCAAAAGTAAAATAAATAAATTTTAAAAAATAAAATAAACGTTAAAAAAAAAAAAGAGTGATGGATGAGCCCCGCTGCCCCCACCCTGGTCCACTCAGCTCATCCTTCCACTCATCAAACCACATTGTGGCTTGTAACTTCCATTTCTCTGACGACTAATTAAGTTGCACACCTTTTCAGATGTTTATTAGACATTTGGACATCTTTTGAGAGGTGCCAGTTCAAGTCACAAACGAATGATTTGCTTTAAATTTCAATACTGATGATTACTAGCTTGGGCGGAGGGGTTATATCTTTCCTGCCTCTAAAATATGGTAAGTCGTACATGCGTAACTGAAAAGTCATTTATTTTTGTAAATGTTGAGTTAATCTTGCTGGATGCTTGGTTATAAATCTGACTGTCCCGGGGCTGAAAAGCACGTCTCCAACTTGCTACTCTTCTCCCCGTCCCTTTTCCCAGCCCTCAATTGCTAAAGAACTTGGAGGTCCCGCCCCCACAAAAGAGGGAGAGCAAACTGATTTCCATCTCCAACCTCCCCCAATCCCATCTTTCTGGGAGAGGTCTGGTTGATGACCAGGGCCCCCGGTCACTCTCCTCCAGAAACAAACCAGTGTTGACGACACATTCCTGCCGCGTACGACGCGACATGCTTCACACATCAGAAGGCTCTTGGTGCCACCCACAGTCCCCGCGGCCCTCGCAGGCCACATCCTGGGCAGCGGCCGTTATGAGGGAGAGAATCCTTTTAGCCCCAAGTATAGTTCACCCACGGCCACATGATAAAAGGAAAGGAATACATGGAGAGCTCAACTTTAGGATACGATGTAGTTTGATATTCTTTTGCACAGAACAGAAGCTTGCAACAATTTAACAGCTAAAACCACAAGCTGTGTACTCAATCAATAATGAGCAAAAAAAGCAAATAAACCTTTGTTGATTCAGAATGTCGGGAGATGAGGTGCTCAGAGAACACGGTAGCTGACAGCTGCCATGTAGTCATATTTATATTTCCAGTTATCCAATAAGCGCTCATAATAAAATACTTAATTATAAAGAGACACTAAACAAAGTAGTTTTAACTGCAGTGCTCCAGTCATATATTTAAGCAACATTATTTTCAGTAAGTCATGACTATAAATAAAAAGTATGCGACTGACACTGGCTTGCGTTCATCCTATTCACATCCCCAGAGCTTGTTCTTAACCCGCTAGGCCAGTCGCTATCAGAACACCGTGTAACTATTACACATGAGGGGAAACTGCCTGTGCCCACCCAGAGTTGGGATCCCGCAGTGAAACTTGTAAACTTCCAAACCTAATGGCTGGATTCGCTCTCTGCAGAAAGCACTTGAAGTGACAGATGTCTCCTGGGTCCAAAGAAGAAATGGCAGGGGGAGGCCTTCTGGTCAAGGCTGGATTAATACAAAAGGAACCCGTCACTCAGTCACCTAACGCGGCAGATCCCCGAGAACGTGTCTGCGCGCAGAAGGTGAGGTCAGCTTGGAGCCTGAAAGGCAGGTCCTGGATGGCCCGAAGCCAGGACACGGGAGCACGGGAGAGGGCCGGGTCACTGGCGGTCACTCTGCGGCCAGGTTCTGTCCTCAGCCCCGGAGGAACCAAGGCCAACTGACCAGGGATCTCTGCCACAGCTGCCGATTACCACTGGGCTTCCCAGAGGAGCTACCTACAGGAGCAGAACATCCTGATGGCAAACATGCTCCCTGACCTCCGGGTCACAGTCCAGCCCTGGACGACTAGGCTGGACAGCTATGTCCATCTCCAAAAGACTCACGGACTTCCAGGTCTGCTAACAAAAGCTGGGTCCAGCTCTGCTAGGGGGACGCCCATTCTTCACTTCCCGAGATGCCCTCCACCCAGCAGCAGTTTTAGCTTGGCCCCTTCACTCATCCCTCCAGGAAGAAACAGAAGGGGAACCGCGTTACCGGGACTTTTTCATTTGTATTCTGATTATAATAAATATCCTTTGTCTGTAAGAAAACTTTAAAGTGTATACCCCTTTAAGAAAATCCAACAACGTGTTAAGGTCCGGCTGTGCCCTGCTCGGTCCCTTCAATGTCACTGAAGCTGGATCAGCGAGTCCGGCTCTCAAGGCGATAGACTTCTGTGTCTGCCGACAGAGCCAGGTCCAGACCACTGGGGCAGGACCCACTCCAGGGCTGCTCCAGGGAGCACGCACGCACATACACACACACACGCACGCACACACGCACGCGGCTCAAGCGTCAGGTGCCCCCCTCTCCTGACTCACCGTGGCCCAGGGTCAGCAGGGTCAGTGGGGTGAGCAATCGTCCTCAGAGGCTTCCAACTTGAAGGCCTGAGAGTTAAAGACAAACAGAAATGTACTTAGGCAGGACTGGAAAAATACTCCGTGAATAAACTACGCGCAGTTACTTTAAAATCAAAAAGACTGCACATCGGGGAAGCAGACAGTTATGAATGAACTTGATTCAGGTCCCGATGACCTGAATGGTCTACTAACTTAAGCAAACACCAGGGACACAGCCTATCAGGCCTTTCCAAGTGTTGTTACTTCCCCCCGCCTGATAAGGAGGCCCAACAGATGGCCCATAAATGAACAAACCGCAGAGATGCAGAGACCACACCCCAGGACGGACCGCGAAGCAATTTCAACCTCGCCTGCAGGCTCGCAGGAACAGCGGAAGGTAGGCCACCTCCTGGATGGATGGACAAGACGCAGAACAGCCTCCAGGCCTCCCGGCCCCTCTGGGCGCTGAGGCTCCCGTTCCCAGGACAGCCACTGTGCCGACCTCGCCTGCACTCTCCTCCCTCCCAAACCCACTAAGCCTGCAGGAGGGGCTCCCGCCAGGCCAGCCCAGTCTGCCATTGATAAAGCCAAACCCAGGCCGGCTGGCTAATTTTAGTCCTTGTTTTTGTTTGTTTTGAACTGTGGTAAAATACACATACAAATCCCCATTTAAACCACTTTACAGTGGTTACAGCTCAGTGGGGTTAAGTCCATTCACACTGTTGGGGAGCCATCACCACTGTCCATCCACAGAACTCTCCATCTTCCCAAACTGAAACTCCGCCCCCATGAAACACTCCCTCCCGTCCCCTCCCCGGGCCCCGGCCCCCACTGTTGTCCTGCTGTCTGTCCCTACGAATCTGACTCCTCCAGGGACCTCGTGTAAGTGGATCACACAGTAGTTGTCCTTTTATGTCTGGCTTATTTCACTGAACACAATGTCCTCAAGGTTCATTCATGTCGTAGCATGTGTCATAACTTTGCTTTTAAGGCTGAATGATATTACACTGTATGCAAATACAACATTTTTTCCTTCTATAAACCTTATAGCTTTAGCTTTCGTATTTAGGTCTGGGCGACCAGACCATTCTGAGTTAATTTTTTAATATGGGATGAAGTTGGGCGAAGGTTCACTGTTTTTGCACATAGCTGTCCAATAGTCCTGGCACCAGCTGTTGAAAATACTATCACTTCCCCATTGAATTATGTTGAAACTTTTGTTGGAAATCAATTTACTATAAATGTGTGGGTCAGTTTCTGGAATCTACTCCGTTCCAATGATCTGCATGTATATCTTTTTGCCGTTCCACAACGTCTAGATTACCACAGAAGCAGAGGAAGTCTTAAAGCCAGGCACTCTTTTCTTTGCCTCTTCAAAAATTATTGGAGCTCTCCTAGGTCCTTAGATTTCCAACGTAAATTTTAGAATAAGCTTGTAAGTTTCTACAAAAAGCCTTGCCAGGATTTTGATTGTGACTGCACTGAATCTATTTAACAGTTTTGGTAGAATTGACATTTTAGTAACATTGGGTCCTGTGGTCCATTAACGTGGTATAGCTCCCCATGTATTTAGGTCTGCTTTAATTTCTCTAGGCACTATTTTGTTATATTTATCCCTAAGAATTTCATATTTTTGATGCTACTGTAAATGGTGTTTTGTTACAGCTTTTAACTATTCGGTGCTAGTATGTAGAAATAAAATTAATTTTGTTATAATGACCTTGAGTCCTGTAAATTCACCGAACTCACCTACTGGTTCTAGTAACTTTGTGCATTTCTTAGGATCTTCCACATAGGCCATCATGCCATCTGTGAGTAAAGACATTTTTACTTCTTTCTTCCCCTTCTGCATGTCTTTTCTTTCTTTTTCTTGCCTTATTCTTCTAGTATAATGTTGAATAAGAGTGGTGAATAAGAGCAGATGTCCTTGCCTCGCTCCCAATATAGAAGGAAAGCTTCAGTCTTTCACCATTATGTAGGATGTTAGCTGTAGGTTTTTCATAGATGCCCTTTATTAGACTGAGGCCATCGACTTCTAGTTTGCTGAGAGATTTTTTTTTTTTTTTTTACCACAAATGAGTAGTAAATGCCTTTTTTTTTTTTTTTTTGCACCACTGAGATAGTCATATGGTTTTCTTTTTTGTCTGTTAAAAGTGAATTATAATGACTGATTTTGAATGTCAAACCAACTTTGCATTCCTGGGATAAATCTCACTTGGTTATGGTGCACTAGACTTTTTACATATTGCTGGGTTTGATTTGCTAAACATTTCTAATTCAGGCAGGATTTTGTTCAGGATGGGTATCGGTCCATACCTGTGTGGTTTGGGTACCAGGGCGATGCTGGCCTCATAAAATGAGCTAAGTGTTCCCTCCTCCTCTAATTACTGGAGGACTTTGTGTAGAACTGGTACTATTTCTTCCTTAAATGTTTGAAAGAATTCATCAACGATGTCATCTGGGCCAAGAGTTTTCTTTGTTAGAAGGTTTTTATATACAAATTGCATTTTTTGATAGATTCAGGGTTATTTGGGTTATCTATTTTGACTTGAATACGTTTTAGTGATTTCTTTTGCTCCAGGAATATGTCCCTCTCATCTGTGTTGTCACATCTCCTGGCATGGAGCATTGCAGAACATTCCCTTAGGATCTCTAGTGACTCTTCCCCTCTCAGTTCTGATTTTGGTAGTTTTTCTTCTCTCTTTTTTTTTCTGATCAGTCTAACTAGAGGTTTACCAATTTTAATGATTCTTTCAAAGAACCAACTTTCGGTTTCATTGATATTTTTCTACTGTTTGCTTTCTAGCTCATTGATTTTTGCTCTTTGTTATTTCTTTCCTTTCTTTACTTTTTCTTAAGGTTGAAGCTTAAATCATTGATTTGAGGACTGCTTTATGTTCTAATATGATCGTTTAATGCTATAGATGCCTAAGCACTATTTTCCCTGCATTCCACAAATTCTGGTACCTTATGTTTTAACTTTCACTCAGTTCATAATGTTATCAAACTTCCCTGTGACTTTTCCTTTGACCATGGACTATTTAAAAGTGTCTTTATTGAGTTTTCAAATATTTGAGGATTTTTCCAGATATCTTTCAATTACTGACTTCTAGTTTACTTCTCTGTTGATCACAGAAAATACTTTGTATGGTTTCAATTACTGAGGTTATTTTCATGGGCCAGAATTTGGTCTACCTTGGTGAAAGCTCCGTGTGTACTTGCAAAGAAGATGTGCCCTGCTGTTGCTGGATGGGTGTTCTATCAACACCAGTCAAGTCAAGCTGATTGATGGTGTTGTTCAAGTCTTCTCTATCTTTACTGATTTTCTATTTGTTCTGTCAGTTATTGAAAGAGGAGTGTGGAAATCTCCCACTGTGATTGTGGGTTTGTCTAATTCTCCTTTCAGTTCTATCAGTTTTTGCAGTATGTATTTTGAAGCTCTTGTTAAGTGCACATATATTCAATATATTATGTTCTCTTGATGACCCGACCCCTTTTATCACTATGAGGAGACATTCTCTTCCCTGGCAATATTTCTTGTCCTGAAATATAACGTGTCTGATTTTAATATATCCACTTGGGCTATCCTGTGATTCATGTTGGCATGGTATCTATCTCTCCAACCCTTTACTTTTAACCTGTCTCTGTCTTTATATTTAATGTGGAAAGCACGTTTACCTAATCTTTTCTATCTGCTCTGACACTCTGACAAGCTGCCTTTTACTTGGACTTTTCAGGCCGTCCATATTTGTTGTGATGATTGATATGGTTGGGATTAAATCTATTATCGTTCTATCTGTCCTATCTGGATTTGTTTGTTTCATTTTCTCTTTTTTCTGTCTTCTTCTGGATTAGGGATTTTTTTAAGATTCCATTTTATTTCCATTATTAGTTTATTAGCTATACCACTTTGTTGTTTTTTTAATGGTTGCCCTAGAATTTACAATGTATATCTTTAGTATATCACTGTCTACTTTCCAATAATATTATAATACTTCACATGTATTTTAAGAATTTTACTAGTTTCCACTTCCCCACTTCTAGATTTTTGGCTATATTACTGCCATACCTCTTACTTCTACTTATAAACTCTATACAACATTGTTAGTACTTTTATTTTAAACAGTAAATTATCTTTTAAAGGACTTTTCTTTGTGTGTGTGTGTGGTACGCGGGCCTCTCACTGTTGTGGCCTCTTCCGTTGCGGAGCACAGACTCCGGACGCACAGGCTCAGCGGCCATGGCTCACGGGCCCAGCCGCTCCACGGCATGTGGGATCTTCCTGGACCGGGGCACGAACCCGCGTCCCCTGCATCGGCAGGCGGACTCCCAACCACTGCGCCACCAGGGAAGCCCTAAAGGACTTTTTAAAATGAGAGGACAAAAGTCTTTTACATTTTCCTGCATTTCTGCTGCTTTTTATTCCTTCAGATCCAAATTCCTGTCTGGTGTCACTTTCCTTGTCCCCAGAGGACTTCCTCTATATTTTCTGGAGTTCAAGTCAGCTGGTGATAATTTTTTTCAGCTTTTAAATGTCTAAAAAAGTCTTTATTTGGCTTTCACTTTGGAAAGAGACTCTGTTAGCTAAGGAATTGTAGGCTGAAGCTTTTTTTCCTTCTGTATCTTGAAGATGCCCTTCCATAATCTTCTGAATTGCACCACTTCTGACAGGAAGTCCACTGTGACTTCACCTCTGTTTCCTCTGTACAGTGTAGGCTTTTGCCTCTGGCTGCTTTTAAGATCTTCTGCCTTTAAGATTTCCAGAAATTTGATTCTGATGTACATGGGTGTAGTTCTCTTCATGATTCTTCTGCCTGGGATTTATTGATCTTCTTGAAAGTCAGTTTTCATCAAATTTGCAAAATTGTAGCCATTATTTTTTTCAAATATTTTCCATCACACACATCTCTTTTCTGGAATTCAATTTCATGTTTGTTATCCCTCTTTATATGGTTCCACTGATGCTGTTTTTCTTTTTCCCCGTCCTTTTCCTGTGTTTCATTTTAGAAAGTTTCTAGTGATATGTCTTCAAGAATACTGAAGATACA